ACAAGGACCCGACTCCTGCTGTCTCTTTGGCTCCTTTGGGCTGTACAGTGACTGTGTAGTGACCTCATGGCCTCTGCCTCCTGCTTCCAGCTCCACACATTGCATGCAGGGGCTCTAGCTCTGAATCCTGACTGCCCAGCGGGCCTTGAGGAGTAAGCCTCCTTCCCCTACCGCCCCTGGCCTCTGGGACTATGAAAGCAGAGGGGCCTCACCTCTCTGCTTCCTCCCCAGAACTGAAGATGGACATTGCCCAGGGGTGACATCACAAGCTTCACTATCTATGGTTGAAGTGGAAGGTAGAGCATGCACAGCACATGGTCCAGGTGGCTGCATTGGTCTCCAAGGACCACAGTGCAGCTGTGTGCCTACTGCTTCAGACCTGGTGGAGACTCCAGGTTTCCATTCATGAAAAGATGCTCATTTTTGTCCATTGTTTTAAAGAGGGTAGGCGAGGGAAAGAAAGAGGGAAAGGAAGGGGGAGGGGAGGGGAGAGGAAGGGAGGGGAGAGAAGAGGAGGGAAAGGAAGGAAAGGGGAGGGGAGGGGAAGAGGAGGTAAGGAAAGGGGAGTGACAGGAAGGGAAGGGGGGAGGGGAAGAGGAGGTCAGGAAAGGGGAGTGACAGGAAGGGAAGGGGAGGGGAGGGGAAGAGGAGGTAAGGAAAGGGGAGTGACAGGAAGGGAAGGGGAGGACAAGGGCAAAGAGGGGAAAGGAAAACACAGGAATGGAAAGGAAGAAAGGAGATGGGACGAGAGAGGACCAGGGAGGGAAGGAGGGAGGAGAAGGGAAGGAAGGAGGCTCTCTTCTGAGCATGTCCTCCCCCCACTGGGATGAGGTCATGCCTGTGAATCCTCTTTACAGAGGTGCCCTGCCCCATGCAGATGCCCACTCAGTCTCTCAGTGATGACGCTGTCTCTCAGGGACACACCCTCTCCCATCTGCGCAGATGAACACACCAAATAATTCTATTTCACCTTGAGTTTGGTAAAGGGTGAAATATGCAGGCTGAGACCTGGATGCCCTGAAGTCATCTTCATGATGTGACAGGCTGAGGAAGGGAGGGGGTGTCAATCTTTCCAGGGAACAGGGCCCAGGAAGGAGCTCAAATAGGGAGGGACAGCCCTGTGCCACCCCTGCTCACCCTACTGACAGCATGGCCTAAGGAGGGTCACACAACTCCCCTGAACCTCAGTTTCCTCCTCTGCAAAATGGAACTGATTTTATGATTCAGAAGATGTTAAGGATTTGACAAAAAGAGTAGGATGAAGCATGCAGTCTAGAGCCTAGCTCAGTTAGGGTAGTCACAGTTCCTGTGAAGGCAGATGCTCCCCTCCGTGAAGATGGGTGCTCCCCACCACGGTCTGCTCTAGCTCTGTGCCTGCCACACTGCACACAATACACATTGGTTGAGTACATAAATGAATCATTGTTCAGTGGCCCGACAGTAGAGGGGCACAGTGGAAAGCCAGCCTGGTGACCATCAGATTAAAGACCCTCAGGATCCTAGGAAACCCACTTAGCAGAATGGGCAGCCGCCTGTTGGCTGGTCTCTGCTTTTGAAGTCCTGAATGGAGTACAGCAAATCCCTAAACTCCATCACCACCCCCAACTTGCCAGAGTGAGTGGGGTTCAAGTGCATGAGCCACATTCCCAAAAGCCAGGACAATCAGGCCCAGGCGTTGCCCCAGCCACCTTGGTCAGCACACCCTGCCCACTGGACATCTCTGCCACCAGACGGAACAGTGGAAAGAGAGCCTGGGACAAGGAAGGAGCGAGAAGGTAGGAAGTGCTTTGATCAGTTTCCTAGTTTGTGAGGAGGGTCCTAAATCCATGAAGGACTCCACTGGGGACCCCAAAACGCAGTCATACAATCCAGCAATCAAAGAAAAAAACAGAAAACAAAAACCACTGAGTCAAACCCAGCTGGGATATTAGGAGGGAGTGGTCTTAGGTTGGTAAAGAATTGAGAGAAAGGACTGCCTATCTCAGATCCCAGCACCGAAACGCTCCAGCCCTGACATTCTATCCACTGACACCCCCAAATTATAGTAGTGCCTCATATATATATATATAATCTATCTATCTATCATCTATCTGTCTATCAATCTATCTATCTATCTATCTATCTATCTATCTATCTATCATCTATCTATCATCTATCTATCATCTATCATCTATCTATCTAAAACTGTTAGCAGTGTTCATGGGCAGAGGGGATGGAGTTTGGGCAGGGGGCGTGGTCTGAGGGATCTTGGGTTAGGCTTGGGCGGGTGGCTCTGCAGCCAGGCTGGAGACTCACCCAGGAGTGTGGCTTCCCCAGAGGGAGCAGCAGAGAGAGCTGGTTTATGAAGTCAGGTCACCTGTCAGCTGGGCTCCAGCTCCTTCAGCCCCACCTTCTTCCCACCCACTTACTGACACCAGCTGCAGAGCCAGAGCTGGGAGGGCCACCCTAACCCCAGCCCCACTGACCAGGACGGGCCGGGCTCTAGGTGCCTTCAGTTTTAACCAGGCCTGGCCAGCAGGCAGTGGACAAGATCTGGAGCGCCTCTCATCTCCCCCCTTCTTCGCTAGCCTCGGATGACTTCCCAGGTTCAAACACCCAGGCAAAGGTACCCCTGGGTGGTCTGAAAGTCCAAAGAAACATGAGCTTCTTGCCAGAACCCAGTGGTAGGGAGTGGGGCTGGGGAAGGGCCGGAACTTCCGGCCTAGCCAGTACTGCCCCAGTAGACACTTCCCCAAGTGGAGCGCTTTGATTGGTCACCGTAGTGGCAGCACAGGCTAGGGACCCTGGCCGTGGCCCTCCCCTGGCAGTGACTGTTTTCCTGCGGTCCCCGAACCAGCACAGTAGGGGTGCTGGGCCTGAAATTCACTCCCCATCCCTTCCCAGGCATCCCCCTGGCAGATGGCCTAGCAAAGGCAGGTGCATCAATCTCAGCCACTTGCAGGGAGGGCGCCCTCCTCGGCCACAGTCCGCCTGTAGTGCCTCGTGAGGTCCCTTCTACTCCAGTCTTCCCTCGTGGTGTAGCCTGGAAGGGGAAAGAGGACCCACCCTGGGGATCCCGCGTCTCCTCTGCAGAGAAGAGGACATGTGTCGCCTCGGGACCCCCACCCCCTCCCACCCACCCATCCAGCCCTGCGTGCGTGCAAAGTTTCGCTCCGCGATCTGGGGCTGCAGAGCTGGGAGGCCGCGAGTCCCGGCACCCGCGCGCCTGGCCCCAAGGCGCTTTCCCTGGCGCCCAGAGCCAGAGCTTCCCGCAGCCTGCAGAGGCCAGCGAGCCGAGGTGCCAGGGCTCTTAGGGTGGGATCCTGAAGCAGCCGGGATTCCCCACCCGACTCTTCCCATCCCCTCCCCGGTGTCTTTCTATCCTGCGCAACCCGGAGTGAGGGAAAGGGTGTTTTCGCGATCGGTCCCCAACCCCCAATTCCGCTCCCTTCAACGTCCAGGTGAGGGCTCCCCTGCGTTTCGACAAAGCCCAGCGCCCTTTTGGTGACACTGGGACCCGGACCCTTTAATCTTGAAACCTCTAGAGGCATCTGAGGTGGGGAACCTTCACCCCCAAAGTTAGAACGAGATTTTGATATACTTCAGAAAGTGTTTGCTTGACGTGTGGAAGGGATGAAGTACCCGACTGGCATCCCCTCCCCCTCTGCCACCCCCCCAGGGCCACCTTCGAGGGCTCAAATTCAGTAATGTCTTACATAGGTGGATCCAGCTCTTTCCAATGACCTCAGGAGTTGAAGGGTTATTGGGGACACCCCTTCTGCCCAGACAATCTCAGAGCCCAGGTAAGCCCTTTCCACTGTGTGTGTTGGAGGAGGCCAGGACTGATTCTTCACCTCCACCTAATTGGGACAGAGGCCAAGGCTCTGCTGGAGACAAAGGTACTTTGTGGCACTCTCTCACCCCAGGAGTCTGGCTCTGACTTCAGTAGAGGTTTGAGTATCTGTGAGTATCTGTGGTTGAACCTAGCTTGAAGAAGGACCTGGAGGGTGCTTAGCACCTCTGGAATGGGCTGGTGCCTAAGCTAAGACTCTCTACTGGTCGGTCCTGCTGGTATATACTGTCTGTTCTCTGCTGGAAAAGGTGCTGGGTCCTCAGGTTCAAACTTCATCACTGTTTAAGACCCAACAGACAGTGGTGCTGGGCTGGAGGGCCCAGGCAGCCTCAAACCATGCACAGTGGAGGTGTGGAGTTCTGATGACTCTGGGCAACCGGCTGAGCTTGTTTCCTTCCAGTTGACTCAGCTTAGCCCAGGGCCAAGTCTACTCCAGACACACAGACACGAGCCTGTTCGACCCCTTCCAGCCCCAGCTGCGACCCTGCTCCCCTTCACACAGGAACTCCAGACGCTCCCTTGCACTCGTACACACTCAGGCTACCAGCTTATACGAGTTATGCCTGGCACCTCCAGGCATCCTATGCAGGCACACCCCTGACCAAATGTCACCGTCCCATCTCCTGTGCATACAGAAAGACTGTCGCTGTCCCAAAAGAGACCAGCACACCCGGGATACACGTGAAAGAATCACTTTACCATACCCATCCCTTAACAGGCTCACACGTAGGATGACACTCACTCATACACCACCAAGGAGCTGCAACAAGCTCACACTCCCAACATTCACACTTTCTCATGCAGACATCAGTGCAAAACTGATCTAGACACTCTGACACCCTTCACATACTCAACAGACCCACACCATTTTAACCCACACAGGGCCCAGGCACACATCTTTTAGTGTGCTCCCCAAACCTCTCCTTGGACACTCACGAATAGACGCAACAAAGACACACACGTACACACACGCACGCCCTGGCACAGACCCATGAGAGCTTTCTCCAAAAGAGCCACCCTCCCTCCCCTAGCCTGAATGCACAGATCTCCGCTCCAGGACGGTGCCCGGAACCCGAGCCTCTGGGAGCGACCCGGGCCCGCGCCCTTCCTTCCCGGTCCCTGCGCGCGTCCCCCGGCCCCGGGCTCCCGCGGGCGCCCGCACACTCACCGCGCGCCAGGTCCAGGATCGCGGCTAGCAGCAGGCAGGCGCCGCGGAGGAGGCTCGGAGCTACTCGCATGGTGCCCGGGAGCTGGCGGCCGGGGCCGGGATGGCGGCGGGGACGGCTATCGCGAGGGAGGTGGCGGGTCCCCTCGCCATGGGCTCAAGAGCGCTTGTGCCCCGAGCCGCTGGCCGAGGCGGTGACCGGCAGCGCGGGGCGCCGCGGGGACCTCCCCATGCCACCGTGGCCGGCTGCGGGGCTGTACCGGGCTCCACCGGTCTGGGTGCACCAGGCTGCTCCGGGCTGCACCGGACTGCACCGATCCCGGCGCACCGGGCCGCACAGGGTCAGGTTCGGGGTTGCGCGCTGCTCCGGCTGCTAAGCTGCGCGCGGCGCCCTCGGCAGCCGGAGTCGGATCGGTGGCGGTGGCTGAGTTTGGAGCCGAAGCGCTGCCCGCGCCGCCGCGCTCTGCCCGGGCTCTCGCTCTGCCCGCGCCCCCTCCCACCCCGCCCC